ATATTATGTGATATATATGATATTTAGTGTGGTGTGTGTGTCTATGCAGGCAGAAGATTTTCTTCTGCTGTCTGAGGCCTCTATGTGGCAACTGCTCCTTTTAAACAGTAAGAGCCTGGAATCTTCTGGCATTAGCTGCCCAGACCTTGTTGCCTGCCTCTGAGGAGTTACGTTAGAGCAGCTTGATTTCTCACATGAGTTCTGTTTCCTTGAGCTCTTCTATACTTATGCTGGGCTCTTGGCACTCCAGGGTTTGCTTTGCCCTTTGTGGCTTCTTGGCTGTAGTTTATGAGCATCCTCTGAGCCACCTGTTTCGGCTTGCATTCCTCCTCATGATTACTTTTGGGGGAAGCAAACTGCATATACAGAAGTGACTGTTTACAGAAGTCTTGGAATTCATAGAGTAAAAAAACAAAATAAACTAAAAACCAGAGCAGTTGGGTCCCTAATAAGGTCCCGAGACAGGGACACTAGGATGCTTGTAGTTTCTAGTATTTTAAGGTTACAAGAACTAACAGGAAGTCAAAGGGAAGATGTGGAAGGAGTGAGCAGGAGAGAGAGCAACAGCGTGTGGGCTAGACGTGTGGGGAGCAATTAAGAAAATACTGAAGGAGAGACGCAGAAAAAGAGGACAGACACAAAAGCCTGTTCAGGCAGGATTTAGACTAAAAGAAACTAAAGAATGGAGAGAAATGTGAATTAAAGTAAAACAAGAAAAAATAAAATGAAATAGGAAATCTATCCCCAGTGTATGCTTCTTCCTGGGCGGGATGACATGGCGGCCCCCACCCCGTTGATAGCTCTTCCTTGTAGCCAGCTCTTCAGCTGGGAGTGGGCTGCTGTTCTCAGTGATTCAAACAAATTCGGTGTCCTCCCTTGCTGAGGCGGCTTCTATGATGGACACCGCTTCCTGTTGGAGTTCCCTAATGGGAGACGCTAGCCATCCAATTGCACCTCTTTCTGGTGTGCGGGGAGGGGGGGGGCTACTTTCCGTTGGGGCATCCAGTGTTTAGGAAGGGCATGAGTACAGCCATGGAGGGCGTGCCTAGGTTTGTGTTTGCCTCTGCTGGGCATTATCTTCCCTTGAGGATCCAGCCTTTCCCCTGATGGAATGCCCGAGAATGCTGGGCAAGACTGCCTGGCTCCGCATTCTTGTATTCCCACGCTGCTGCTCACCTTGGCGGAGGTGGGGGAGTGCTCCTTTCCGGTTTGCTCTCAGGCCAGTCACCTGCAGTGCTTGTGGGAGATTGAGATTTTGGCCATGAGTTTGCTTCCCATCCGTTCTCTCTCCAACTTGCTGGTCCCAGGAGGCTGTCAAGCAGGGACCAGCACCTTCAGGTGTGTTACCGACCCCAGGTGAGTAGCAGCAGTTCTATAGGTCTGGGCTGGTTGGTGGCTGCTCCAGGTCGCTTCCCCATGGGGAGACTGTGGATCTCATCATGTCTTGCGTCTTCCTATGCGGTGCTATGCTTTCTTTCAGTCCACGCTCCAGCTGCCCCATGGCTCCCTCTGTGTATTTCCGATATTCCTCTGTTCCTTCTCTCTCAGGAATCGACGGATTCGTCTCCTTCACTGGATCACACAGAGGCAGCTGTGAATTCACCATTTTTGCCTAATGCCAAATTTATTTAGCAACCTGTAGGAAAACCAACGTCTTGGACCTGTATTTCATTTTAATAAGTTTCTCTTTTTTTTTTAGAGTGACAGATCCATTATATTAGATGAGTTCTATTTTAAACCTTGTCATTCAAAATGGATGCGTGACCTCTAGTTTTAAAGGTTTGTTTCTTGTCCCGACTGCCATTTCTCTTTGACTCTCTGTCTGGGTCACAGTCTTTCTCATCTCTACCTTTTTTCAGAGCATGGTTCTCTTCTCGGCTTTGTTTCTTCATGGCCTTCAGCAAGTTGCTAACCCCACCTGGCATCGAGTTCTCATCTTTAGAAGCGAGATATTGTTGCCAAACTTATTGAATTATGTGAGAACGAAGGACACTGGTGCAGCTGACTATTCTGCCGCTTAGCACAGACTCCCTCCCTTCCCCTCCCTATCAGCCCCTGTAATGATGCTCAAATCAGGAAGCTCTGGTTCTTAAACCCACTCTAGCTGAGGAGGTTCAATCAGCTGAAGTCGATGCTGGCTGCTACGCTAGCTGGGTTGCTTAGCAACCCTGCACCAGTTACAACCATCCTGGAAAAGCTTCCTGGAAAAAGATCGCATCAACCAGGTCTCAGTGATTGCAGGCTGACACAGGCGTTAGCTCAAGCAAACTGGCAAAGCACTCTTGCTAACCCCTCCGTGTTTAGGATTCCTTTTCCAGGATTGATGCGTGACCCAATTAGAGAGCAGGGGTTCACAAGAAACCAAAGTTTTCCCGAGACAATGCGCCCTCTAACCGCCACTGTTGGGGGAACCAGTTCACACTTAATTTGCTCTCCTGTAAGCAATTTGGCAATCAGATGAGAAGTTAAGGAAAAGGCACTTGGGAATCTATAAAGTAATTGCCTCGTTAGAAGACCGCAGGAGACACCGGGCATCCGAGGCGAAGGCATGAGGAATGACTTACTTCCATAGACTTGGCCATGGAAAAGAAGTGGTTTGGCTACGTGCAAATTAGCTTAGCCTGCCCTGAGGCTCATTTAACCTCCCCTCTCTCTCTCTCTCTCTCTTCTCTCCTCTTCTCTCTCTCTCTCTCTCTCTCTCTCTCTCTCTCTCTCTCTCTCTCTCTCTCTCCCCACAAGAGAGATCCTTTCTCAGACATCCCAAGTCCCTGATACAGCTATGGAGAGGGCTCCACAGCAACACACTTGGCTTCCGCTGTGATGCTCCTCTGAGATGCTTCCGACAATGCCCCACATAACACATGACCCAATGGAGCTGTCGGCCCACGCGGCTGACAGCCTCACCCGTTCAGTGTCTGGCCCTCTAGGGAACGTGGACTTCACCTAATAGAAAGCTCACTGCCACAGGGGAGGACACTGAGGCCCACATAAAGGACTGCACAACTTCCAAGGTCTTAAGACTCTTGGCTGAACTGGGGCAAGAAGACAGGTATTCAAAGAGAGGGAGGTACTTATTTTGGTGGTTAGAATTTAGAAAATGGCAAATTTATCAAGAAGCAAGGCAAGTTATTTGAAGTTCAGGAAAATATTGCTAACTTAGTAATTTAGAAATGCCTCCAGGATGGCAGTAAATATAATCACCAAAAGAAGAAACACCAACTATGAAGACATTTAGCAACTAGACAGAAAGATAATCGTTCTCAATTCTTCACATCCTTGGCTTACATTTCAGGGGTTCAAGGATAGAAAGCTTAGAATTTAAGGCCTTTCCTAGTTGACCCCCTCTACTTTCCATCGTTGTCTCTGGCTCACACGCACACTCTCTGTCCATTTGCTCTGTCCTGAATGCCTGCCAGATTTCCCACCTCCCTGCTTTTACTTTTGCTGTTGCATTTGTGTGAAAGACATTGTCTCATCTTCTAGGGGTCCAGACTCAAGGCCCTCCTGCCATGAAGCATCAGGCCGAATGTGCACTTTCTTACCTTCAACTTTCCGTCAAATTCCATTTGAATTCATTGCCATTTTAATTACTCTCAGCCTATGTCAGTGAGACTAGAAACAGCTGACATTAAATGGGAAGGAGCCCAGTAGGCACGTTCCATGTTGCCTTGTTTAGTCGTAGGAAAGACTTTTTAATTTGTGTAAGTCTTCATTGATTGAGTTATATATTCTTGCAGGGAAGGACATGAGAAAATGCTAAGCGCCCTATGATAAAATTCATATTTAGTGAAAATGTGGCTGATTAAATAAAACAGCTAAAGATGAAAATAATTCATTTATTTCAGCTGTGGGCACAACTGTTATTTTCCTGGTTGTTCTGTTTCAGGCAGGCTGGATGAAGAAGGATCCTCCTGGGTTTCCATTTTGATACAGGGCAGGCCATCCCAGACCTGCCTGCATTTTTTTTTTTTTTTACAGACAACAGTAGCTGGTCCCCGGTTCTCTCTTCACATGGAGCAAGGGCTGCGATCCTATGTTCTTGGCAACTGAACCACATGTGTGATGTTACTTGTACAACTTGAAAATGCATCTAAGTTTTTGTGTTCTGGCCAGCTTCTGAATGGACATTCACTACGGTTAAATAAGAACACAGGGGGATGAACATGTCCCATTACTAACTCTTCAGGGTCGGGGGCACACAGGGAATTCATTTTCTTGAGTATCACCACTCAACTGCATCAAAGCGTCCACAGCTGTTTGGGGCATTGGTTTCTTACTGAGGTTCCTGTCCATTCTGTTGGTTTTACAGTTCTGCCTGCCCAATCCCGGGACCTCAAGAGTGAGCTTTGGGTGCCACCTAGGGCACACTTGTGGGTTGGGCTAGAGAGAACCTGCCTTTACCAGTGATCACGTTATTCTCTTGGGTCAGGGCATGCTGATAAATCCAGAAGTGCACTAGGTGTTTTTAGCCTCGACAAATGTAATAGCCACATCTTCTGCCTCTCTGCATCAAGTAACAGGTTAGATATGAAAAAAGGTACATGATAAAAAAATGAACACACAACAAAAATTCTCAACCCTTCAAAAGCACAAGTCCAAGAAGTATTTGTGCTAAACACTGGTAGTTGACATGGAAGTGGGGAAAGCGCAGAAAAACAAATACATGCTATCAAGAGACTTTGGGGCACGTGTTAAGCACCAGCTACAGCAGGGTCTTAGCCCGAAGCTCGCCCAGAGAATCAAACTCTAAAGTACTTACGTAGAGTCAGTGTCTTTCTCTTTCTTCCGTATTCCAAAGGCCTTCCTTGTACGTTTTTTCAGTCCTGTGGGAAGATGGCAAAGGGTCAGAAAGCAGTCAGCAACACAGGTGATTGTATCCTGGAAGGGGCAGCCAGGCCTGGTGAACTCTACTGCATATACGACTCCAGAGCCAGAGGCCGGGGAGTTCAAATCCAATGCCCCTTCTTTGCTACAGAGTGATTTCAAGACCAGTTTGGGCAACTTTGTGAAACCATGTCTAAAAGATTTAAAAAAAAAAAAAAAGGTAAAAAAATAGAAGAAGAAAAAAAGACAAGGGGTATTAGGTGTATGACTCAGTGGTTGAGCACCTGCCTAGCACAGACCAGGCCCTGGAGCAGTGGTTCTCAACCTTCCTAAAACTGAGGCCCTTTAATACAGTTTCTCGTGTTGTGGTGACCACCAACCATAAAATTATTTTCATCGCTACTCCATGGCTGCCACTGGCTACCATTATGAATCGTCATGTAAATATTTGTGTTTTCTGATGGTCTTAGAGACCCCCGTGAAAGGGTCGTTAGACCCCCAAGGAGTCACGAGGCACAGGGGTTTAATCTCCAGTCCTGAAAAGAAAAGGGAAAGTTGCTGCACAAAGCTGTTAAATTTGCATCTTCAGAGAGCAGCGTCCGCAGATGTCTATGCATGCGAATATGCGAATATGATTCACTAGGGAAGCTCCCACAGGTGTCTGTGAGGGCCGCGGCAGGGGAAGCTCTTAGACTCATAGGCAACATAAGGATGCGGTAACTGGGAAAGATCACAGGCTTTTCTTAGATGACGGCTATGTATCGGGAAGATCAAGACTTTGCCAAGAAACTGAATCACAGCTTTAGAATAGCCATTTAAAGGGTGGATCTGTACTTGAGACATGGTAATCCTAAAAGGTGGAGAGATGAGCCATACCAGGAGAGCCTTGCACACCCCTCTCCCCGCCTCTCTGTACTGCACTTCCATCTCATCGTTAGCATGGGCAAGGCTGGACTATTAACTAGTCCCTGAGCACACTCCACACTGGGACTCCAGCATCTCTTCCTCGGGATCTTCATCTCCGGTTGAGATGCACCGCTTATGTTGCCGACACTCGAAGTTCCAATTCATCCGTGAAGGGCGGGCCCCAAAGCCATACACTGATAGGACCTATCAATCTGACTGATGCTCTTGTACATGTTAATATATCAGTGATGCCGCTCATCAGCTATTTCAGATTCTCTGATGATCGTGAGCCTTCCTAGCCTAGAAGCCAGGGCCGCCTGGTTTGCATGTGTGGCCCCTCCCCTCTGCCCGCCCATTTTACAGAGGTATCAGGTGACATTTGCTGATTAAAGTTATGTTCCAAGGAAGCACCATTCAGACAGCAGTGTGGCCAGAAGGCCCCTTTCTTCCATGCGTATGAACTAAGCCCAGTCTGGGTCTTCCATTCTTGCTTGTCAAGGACCCGTGGAGACCTCCCAGGTCCTATGTGTTCCCCATTGGTGTAGGAGGTCCTTCTGTATTTGTGTTGCTTTCATTGGTTGAATAAAGAAACTGCCTTGGCCTTTTGATAGGGCAGAGTTGAGGTAGGCTGGGACGACAGAACAGAAAATCTGGGAGGAAGAAAGCAGAGACAGGCAGACGCCATGAATCTCTGGCCTGAGATGGACGTAGGTTAGAATCTTGCCGGTAAGCCACAGTCATGTGGTGATACACAGATTTAATAGAAATGGGTTAATCAAGATGCGAGAGTTAGCCAATAAGAGGCTAGAGATAATGGGCTAAGCAGTGTTTTAATTAATACAATTTCTGTGTGGTTATTTCGGGGGTTAAATTAGCTGGGCAGCGGGATGAAAAGCAGGCCCGCTCCTCTTACAACACCCCATGTCCTATGTGTTCCCATCTCCTATGCGGTCCACAGGTCGCATGTGGCTGACTTTCTTATGTTGGCAAGTGCTGTTTTCCTATAGCAGACGCTTGTGCAATCTGAACTGTGGGGAAAGCTGTATTGAGGGAGAGAGAGAAGCCAACCACAAACCTGATATTGCTGGGCAGGGTGGCTTATCCCCATTATCTCAGCAGTTGGGAGGCTGAGACGGGAGATTGGTGAAAGTCTGAAGCCAGCCTGGACTACAGAGTGAGGCCCTTCCTCTAAAATAACAAAATGAAAAACCCAACCAACCAACCAATCAACCAAGCCAAAATATGGCCACTGAAGCTGCAAGATTTGTCTGGCAGGAAGAACGAGCAGAGAAGTAGACAGGATCGGGCATTTGCTATCGTCTTTCTCAAGGCCCATGAGTCAGCCGAGACTCTGAGTCACTCATTAGCTGTCTCTAAGGATGCTACTCAAATATAGTTTCCAAAATGTCTCAGCGTGGCTCGATTTTTGCATTTAATATTCATTCTATTTAAGATGTTTAGGTCTTTAAAATGTCAATGCTCTTTTTAAAACTCATTCCCCACACAAAACTCTTCCCCATTCCTCATCACATAATGAGTTTACAGGGGAACTGGCTGACATTTCAAACTATTCATAATATTTAGGAACGCTTGCCCCCACCCCATTCTGTTTCAGTTTTCTTTGTTAAAATCCCTCTCCCCTCTCTACTCTGTCTTATTCCCCCACAGGAACAAATGCCATAGTTACATAACCATCATTTTCTTCTTACCCCTTACCCCAGGCTTCAGCTTCTTGCTGCTTCCAGTTTAGCTTTAGGTTCATGATGACTGCGGTACTCATGAGTCACGGCTGGTGACTTCAGGAGCACAGCACAAACCCTCCCTAACTCACATGCTCAAGTTCTTTACTCTGGTAACTCTACCTGTAAGAGACGGACGGCATGCCCTTGCAAACAGATCAGGAGTCACCCACAACTTTCAGAGTCCAGGTGGTCCTGTATCAGAAACAGAACTGTTACATCCCATTAACTCATTTGGGCAGCAGCCAATAGGAACCTACGTAGGTCATGATGGCCCCAAGTTGTCTGTTTTCCAGGAAAACGTGCACCGGCGAAGACCTGGGGGATGTAGAGTTTTATCCCAGCATCGTTTCTGGCTGCGGAGCTTGCTGTTGCTTCTGCTCTTTGGGTTTCAGTCTTGGGTTTATAACAAGCGATGATAAGAGAAGGAATCACACACTCTTATAATCCTATGCCAACCTCGACCATTCGTGTCACTGACTGTCCTGTGTCTAACACCCAGAATATATGTACACATGGAATAGAGAACGGAACATATAAATATGTGACCTTTCAGGAAGCAGTCAACTTGTTAAATAAGCATTAAAGAGTGGCCCCTCCATGCCGAGTGGAAAGACTCGAGAAGAGGAGGAGTGTGCAAAGAAATCAGGGCGCAAGGCAAATTCCTCTACCCGCTGCCTTCCTTGCCCAGAACCCCTGTTAAGGTGGAAGAAGAGAACAGATTATGCACACACTTGTCCACCCCCATCTCAGCCCCTACAGTCCTAGATGGGTGTGGTGTTTGTTCTATGAAATTATGTATGCTAAAATGGCCCGAGCAGAAAACTGGATGTTATGTGCATTTTAGTTCAACAGAAAAGAAACATAAGAGTTCAAGCCAGGCTGTTTTGCAATGAGAGAGGGGGGAAAACGTGAAAGAAACAAAGTACAATGTCTCAGAAGTTTCATGTCTAAATAACTGCATATGCCACACAACTCAATACCATACCTTTATTTAAAGTGTTCTAAAATAATTTTTGGTGATTTTTTTTAAAAAACAGTTTAATTGTGATTCTCCCCCATAGATAACAACAATGTTGTGTTGTGATAACAAAAGGAACACTTCTGGGCGCAGTGACAGGTTTGTGACCTCCACTCTGTCCCTGTTTCCAGGAGAATTTGCGGAGAACAGGCACTTTCCTTTGTCAGGTATTTGCGAAGCTTCCAGAAACACTTTACTCAGCTGCTAGCTCCTTTGGTCTGGTCTCAGAAGCTCTGAAGGTAAATACCATGGTATTAGCACTCCACGCAGGTGAAGGACAGGGCTGGCTTAAAACCATTTGCTCAATGGTCTTAAAGAAGAGGCCTTTCAAATGCAAGGAAAGGAAAGTCTCAAAAAGCCTTGGGTTCACTTCTGTGTGATATCTGTCAACAGTGTGGTGATGAACAGTTTTTGTGACAAGCTGGAAACTGATCTGAACCAACATTTTCACTATAATGAGTATTGGTATTGATGCAAATCCCCACATCTGAATGTTTAGAAAAACATTACCTGGCATTTCATAGTTCTCTATATGTGACAAAATTTTTGAAGGATTTTGTATGGGCTGTGGACATGGCTCGGTGGATAAAGCCCTTGCTTTGCAGTTATGAGGCGTCTGAGTCACCAGAACTCATGTAAAGCCACACACAGTGCTGTTCATCTAGGAGGCAGAGACAGGAGTATCCATGGAAACGTTGGGGCCATGAAGTTGCAAAGGCTTTATAGCCCGTCTTTACTGGTGGCCTTTTTAACTGGTCAAAGAATCCAAAATAAAATCATTTCTTTTATATTCACAGGGGAATTTGGAATGTGGTAATAGCAAAGCAACCGTCACCAGTGTAGCTTCAGCGTAGCTCCTGCCTGACGATCTGCACCTGGGATTTGGTCTGGGTCCTCCTGACTGTCATCTGTGTCACTGCAAGCAGAGTCTCTGGCTGATGGTTTTTGCCGAGATAAAGGCCAGGTACTTAGGATGTTAACTTGGTGTTAGTTGTATTTCTAACAGTCTTACTACTAATTTGATCTCAAGTTCCTGGTCCCTTGCCTTTACAGACAAGGTGGGCCGCGCTGCTCTCCAGGGCTATCAGGATTGCTGTCAGTCCTTCCTCCTGTAGCGGAACCCAGCAACTCTGCTGTGAAGCCGTCTGACTGTGCTGGATCTGTCTGATTCTGAACTGGGACTTATATGGATGTCCCTTCCTCGTACTGTATTGTATCTTTGGAGGGTTCTTCAGGGGCTCTTGTTTCGGTGGCTCCTTCTGCTTGTTGCACTGGTCTGTGTGCACCAAACCTTCCTCCCAAGGCTCAGATCTGTAGGCTTCTTTCCCTCTAG